TGGATTATTACAACAAAATGTTCTTCTGTTGAGGGAGTACTTGAGTCAAGGCCTAATATCCATCTGCAACCTTAATCCTTAACATATAAGTACATAGATCTATTCCCCTATCGTTATCTATAAATATATTTACATATGTACATGCCTGTATTTAGACCTCTATAAATGTTCTTTGCCTCCTGGTTCTTTCCTCTATTTCCTTTTACGTTCTTCTTGTCCCACCATCATGTTCAGCCTTCATTCGTTTTTCAGTAATTCCTCTGGGCTACATTACCCTCGATCAAGCCCCACCAGGCATACTATGCCCTCCTTGCCATCAATTTTAGATCACTTGCTGTTCCCTTGTCCCTGGGTGTGTTAGCATCCCTCCTCCTTTTCCCCACCTCCCTTGTGTCCCCCCACCCCGAACTGTCAGTCCCATTGTTTTCTCCTCAGGATGGTTTATCCCACCTATGTTATCTAGATAGACATGCAGAGACAATAATAAGCACAAAAACAAGAGAAGGCAAAACAAAACAACAAAAAGAAAACCTATAAATAGTTCTAGGTTTGTTTGTTGACACTTAGAAGTGTTTTCCAGTTGAGTCTGATGGGGTGCCACACCCTGACCCCAGTTTCTATTTTTGGTATTCCTGAGGTACTTCATTGCTTTGGTCCCCTTGCTGCTCTGTTGATGCCCTTAATGTTTTGCCCTGGCATGGTGGGGATTTTGACCTATTTTTTACTTGTTCTGGTTTTTATTATTTTCTGCTTGCTTTGGGATTGAATTTTTTGATTGATTGTCATTTTTATTGAGTTTGTTTGTGTTTTGTATGATTTTATTATATGAAATTCAAGATAGGTAAATCTATAGAGGCAGTAATTGGATGAATAGCTAGCTCGGTAGTGGGCCAGGCACTGAGCTGCTCACCACAAAGTCCGAGGTTCAAATCCACAGCTGTTCTGCAGGAGAAAATGAGCTTGTTTACGTCTGTAAAGACAAAGTCCCAGAAACCCAAAGGGACAGTTCTACTCTCCTTATTGGGTCACTGTGAGCCAGAGTTAATTCTTGATGGCAGTAAATCTGATGTTGGCTTTTCAGGATTTTTTTGGCTTTGTTTTTGAGAGTATGACAGGGGAATTTGGGTGGGTGAATAGGAAGCTAATAATGAGACAAGAATGAAGCAAGTGAGCTAAATCTGATTGTGGTGATGATGGTACAACTCTTTTTAATACATTTAAGCCCTTGAATTATATGGTACATGAATTAAATGTCAATAAAAAGTGGCTAAAAATTAAGAAATAGGATGCACATAAAAGAATAAGGCAGAACTTATTAAGTATGGTAAGAAAATTACAGGTAACGGTCATAGAATCAAAGACAAAAGCATTTAGAAAATATTCCAAAGAAGATCTGCTTACTGATCTGGGTATGGCTACCCAGCTGAGAGGAGGACTGTTCCTTTGAGAGGCCTGGCGTTCTAGTGGGAGGAAACAGCACTGGGGCAGCACCGATGGGATAGGGAACAGCAACCTTCCCATGGAGTATCGCGAGTTAGGAAAGGGTAGCGCAAAGCCATACCCATGACAGCTTCGCTTCCCCCTTTGCTCATCATCCTCCCCCAGTAAGACCACACTGTGTGAGCGAAGAGGGCTTGCTGTGTGTCGTCCCCCCCACCCCCTCCCGACCTCCCTGCCTTCAGCTAGGTGGCCAAGCCTGCACACTTTTCTATATCGATGTTGTGATCGGCTATTGCCCCATGAACAAAATTTACGGCCTGGTCTTCCCCCTACTCCCCATCAGGGGCAGATGAGTTCCGTGTGCTCCCTATGGTTTCTCTGACTGATTTCTCAGAAGTAGATCACCAGTCCTTTCTACCTAACCCATCTTC